TAGAATAAATTAATTAACTTTTCATGTTTCCAGTAGTTCTATCAATATAATACAAGAGAATTATTAATAATTTGCCTTAACTTGGTGCTTTCATCATGCAAGAAACAGGAACTGCGTCGACTAATTTTTTCAATGCTACGCAGGAAACAATCATACTATCGATGAATATTACTAAAAATGTTTGATTATTATTATTTACATCAGCAATCATTAACACAAATAGTACTTTGCGTGTCCAATTAAATTTATTCATAAACAACAAGAAAAAGAAATCAATTCTTCTTATTGATTTTCATTGACAAAAATATCTAAGGATAAAAATGTTCCTATTGTATAATTCGGCATATTAATAACTTGTGTTGCTTGAATATCTACTACCACTGAACCTAAAACTGAATAATATTGTGTCGATTGTCTCATATCAAGTTGAGTTAATAAACATGGAAATATTACGTGTTTAAACTCATCTCCATCTCATACAGATAAATAAACATAAACAATAATTAGTGTTTCAATTGCTGTACGACACACTTCTCCATCACCTTATGCTGCATGTCCATTACCAATACTAAATAAAGTTTTGCTCTTTTTGTCAAATATTTCATATCAATATTTCCACCTATTCGATGAGGTGAAATTGTTGAAAAAGAGTCATTTAAACCACGTGCAACGCCACATTCACTAGCAAATGATTGAAGTAGAGTACACATTTGATTTTGTTTAAACCAAACACATTGACAATTATTTTCATCTAATTTCCATAGTTTAAGCTTAGCTTGTGAAAATTCATCATGAAGAAAACAAAAAACAGTACAATTGGTACCCATCGCCAACGAGTAGTTTTTATATCAACTATTTCAACTTCCTATATATCATTTGGTTCAGCGTCACGAATATAAATTCGATCATTTATTTGCTCTAATTTTGACATATCCAATGAATAGATTGCTTCAGCAGTTGATTAAGTATTGATTTGACCATTGGATATATCAAGACAATCAAATGTTACAATTTTACCAGAATTTATTGTGATGATTTGTGGAATCGAATTATTCCATGATAAATGAGGTTAATACATTCAGTCCGATTCAGTTTTATTACAGAATAACTCTAACAGATTTATTTTTGTATGTATTCATTGTCGTTTTCATTCTATGCTGGCTCGTTGTTTTCTCTTTTCTGATTGCTATATTACATGGACAGTTATATCTATGCATCACATACTGGTTTTTACCAATATGATGTATTGGGTTTTCTTAGTATGTTATCACATGTTCTATATTGGATTTTTCCTAATAATATATCCGTTTACGTCATACTTAGTATTCTCCAACGTGCTTATAGTTAATCAAGCGGAAAGATAAAAGAGATGTTTTGATGATATCCACAAGACCGTCGCATTCAGCAATTGTGGTGGATACTGAAAAAAAACAATATACGAAATGAGCCTATTATGAAGCCACAAGCTGTACTAGGTTATAACGAGAGAAGACAATGTAATGATTTGTCAGATCAACTATCAACATACTATACATGTCTCAGACATGCTATAAAATGGTATAAAAAGGTGGTATTGGAATTGGTATTTGGAACCGCAGTAGTTAATAGTTATTTGATTTACAAGGAAAATTATGCCGCAAGCGACATGACCATTCTGCAATTTCGTGAGAGTATCGTACGGTCTTTACTCCTTGGTACACCATTTGAGGAGCTGAAACGTGGTCCGAGACAACAATCAGCAAGTCGTTCGAAGCGCAAACTCGCCGATTACAAGTTCGAAGAAAAGGAAAGATTTGCGTGCAATGTCTGAAGGCGCTGTGCTGGTGGCTATGAGAAAAGCAGGAAACAGCAATCAAGAGAAGCGAGCATGCTGACAGCAAAGAAAATAATGGTCTGTGCTGACTGTAACAATTTTTTTTGTCTTGATTGTTCTAACGAGAAGCATCATGTTATGGAATAAAGAACTCAAAAAATACTGAAGATAGAGCAGGTGACACATTTTGTGTAATCTCCTGCCTAAGTAAAAAGCAACAGAAAGCTGTTTTCTATACAGTTTCTTCTTAAAATATAGTGTGGCCCACCGGTGGGTTACATTGGGCTGAATATGTTAAATATTGTTATGTTTAAATATTAAATATTAATGATCTTTAATAATTAATATTTAGATTTTTATAATATTCAACAACTTTCTAATATTTTCTGCAAAAAAGGGTGTGAATGTGGAGTGAAAGTGTAAATGTTGGTGAGTATAGATGGATGTGAGTATGTGGGTTGAGTGAGGGCTTGGAGTATGAGTGTGTGTATAGAAAGAGAACCGTTCCACGACAAAAAGTTTGTTTCTGTTGTGCCAGAACGTCATCAGATGGATTTTTAAAGTACTAAATCGTAAGAGTAATTTCAAAACAATAATCAGTATGTGTGGGCTTTCTTTATCTCAACTGAATATTGACACCTGCCCACACCTACGCACATCCAATCACAGACATGTGCACACCTTCACGCACATCATACACCCTGATATACGCACACCCACACCCTAACTGTATCGGATTGTTTTAAAACTTGGATTGGCTCCTATTTTTGTTATCTAGAGTCTTGTAAGAGAATTGGAAGCAAGTTTCACTGCAATGTAAGCATTCTAAAAAAAACAAGCTTAAAAATCTATAGATATTCAGAACAAAATTTTGTCTCTAATATCAGTTTTATCATCTGAAAAAACTTTGTGAACTCGCCGATTTTCCCGATCTGGAAATATTTTTAGACAGGCCGGACCAGACCGACTTAGTATTTCTTGACTGGTTACAATTCTGGATTAAATCATTGAAATTTCTCATAGTTTCCTATCAGAAAAATGCATTGTAAAGCCCATAACCTCTTTTGAAAAATATATTATTTATTTGAAACAAGATCGTTCTCATCTTCGAAATTTTCGATACTATGAATAGCAAAAAAGTGATGTGAAAATTAACATCTGCAGACCAAGATAACGAGTGATAAACTTTGGATCAATAGAATAACCAATGATATTTCATTATTAGAACTACTGTAGATGTTCTCTCATGATTACATTAAGTTAGATCAATATTACTAGGCACATCAAAATAAGCCACCTCTCCTTGTTCCAACATAAGAATGCGATCACTATTGGCTACCGTATTCAATCGATGTGCAATCGTTAATATGGTACGATCACGAAACTTGTCAGCAATAACCTCTTGAATCATCCTATCAGTCTTATGGTCAACATTTGCTGTAGCCTCATCGATAAGTAATATGTGGCTCTTCTTCAGAATGGCTCGTGCTACACAGACCAGTTGACGTTCACCAGCACTCAAATTAGTTCCCGATTCTGCCACCAATAGACTTAGTCCATCGGTATGATTGGACACTAATTGTTTGAGTTGAACAGCTTCCAGTGCTCTAAGGCATTCTTCATCTGAAAATTTTTCAAATGGATCAATATTGTATCGAAGCGTACCACAGAATAGTATCGGTGCTTGTGGAATAACACTTAAATGAGAGCGAAGATAACCGAGTGAAAGACGACTAATATCAATATCATCAATGAGAATAGTTCCGTTGATTGCCGATTGATCGACCAGTCGAAACAGAGCCTGAAGAAGTGATGATTTTCCGGCACCTAAACAGAATATACAGATGAATAAACAGATTTCACCAAGAAGAAATCATGCATTCTCATATTCCGAGTGTCTTAGAACTATTCACAAAAAAATGTTCTTCCTGAAATGCTGACGTTTGATGATACAATAGTTATTGAAAAGAACAGGGTACGATAACTGACGAAATCGACCTCTTTGAATAATTCAGCTACTTATAAATGAATCCGTTACATTAAATGTTGAAAATCAGTTACTGGAATAATTAGACCTATAGATATGTACTTGTTGTGCAACTGTCGATTGATGTTTCAGTAGCATTCCTGAATATCATAATCTTCAAGAGCAATGTTCTGAAAAACCAAATTTCTTATTATTGGAAAGCGTTTGTTGGTTGTTTCAAAATGACGTAAATACACAAAATATGCAAAAGTTGAGAGGTAAGAAGAAGATTATGGATTCAAATGAAGAAATAGATTGATACATTATGCTGAGAGTCGTGCGATGGGGATACGTCATTTATAAACGGTGTGCTGATTCTGATACCGACGTATCGAGAGTAGATCCCTAAGTATTTAACGAACATTGCATTTCTTAAATACTGTTTAAAGCGTCGCCCCAGATGCTCTGCGAAATAGTCTACAGTAGAACCTCTCTAAGTGAGCACCTCGTCTATCCGATTGGAACATAAGTTCTGCAAGTTTAGATCAGTAGAATTATATCTCCAATATAAAACTACATTTTAAAGAAAGTATTTATATATTCTGATAGCGCTCGGAATTCTCTATCATCCTGTGTATTTAAGTCTTGACTTGTATTTATTTTCTAAAAAAGATTTCGAATACAATGAATATACCCTCATCCATAGATTCTCAAGACTTCTATTCTTTTGTTCCTGTTTGATGCGTTTTTAAAATTTTTATTTATACAGTGTCAGTTTTTTAGAAAAGTAATTATATATTCTGAGAGCTCTTGAAATACTCTATCACTCCATATATTCAGGTTTTGGCTTGGACTTCTTTGCTGAGAGGAACTTCGAACATTGTCAATGCCGTGAGGGTGTCTTCATTGTACTCGAAATATCTTTTAGAAAACAGATACAAGTCAAGACTTAAATACACAGAATGATAGAGAATTTCCAGCGCTATTAGAATATATAATTACTTTCCTTAAAATGTCGTTTTATATTGAAGATATAATTCTATTGATTCAAACGTGCAAAACTTATGTTTCAATCTGACATGTGAGCACTCGCCGAATCGTTCAAGTGAGTTTTGCTGGAAATGAACCTCTCTAAAATGAGCAAATCGCATTTCTGGGCAGTAAGCAGTATTTTTGAGCTCGTTCGTATGATATAGCCTCTCTAAAGTAGACACTGCTAATTGTGATTGCACAGTATATTGCTTGAAGTATGCCATCACACCATCATCAGCTATCATGAACATAAATTGATACTGGTCATGAAAATATGGCTTCCACTGTCAGTTTGAATTGCACAATCAAAAACGATGATTCATTGGAAAAGCTAGATAATCGTTGGTGACAGAGTTTCTTGAATTAGACGAAGAAGTTTCAATATTCGAAATGACAAAACAGAAGACCTGATGATAATCAAGGATAGACAATGCCAACAGGATGAGAAATATGATGACGATGTGCTTCAGGAAGCGTCTCCCACGCTGTGCAATGCTTTCGAAATAATGCATACGTTGCATCTGCTTGCAAACGCGGAACATCGCTAACTTCACTATCGTATCAGTATTTTGGAATAAAAAATCACAGACAACTACATCAATTCTAAAGCTATTACGGAGTGCAAAAAAAATCGACCTCTCGAAATTAAAATATGACTAATTATTTATTTATAATTACAAATTAACTAAATTATATATCAATACTAATTATAGTGAATGTACAATATAGACAATATGTACAAAACAATTTTATAAAAACTTGCAATTAAAAAATTTCAATGAAACAATAGTTGTTTTTTTCCACCTATGTGGAACTATTTCTTTATTATATATTTGAAAATTTAATTTTAAGAGAGAGTCCATCAGACCAGTCACCAAATATGCATAGGAAAAATTTTAATTTTGAAATAAGTTATACCGTTCGAAAACCCGTGAAAAGTTATGCTCAAACCTAAATTTTTAGTTCTTTCTGAAAATCCTATGAAGAGATATGAAGGCATCTTTGAATATACCCCCAGGTACTATTCCAGAAATTTTCGAAAATTTTGCTAAATTTTAGAGAATTTTATTTAACACTTTATGACAACATATATTACCATTAAAGGTCCTTCCTTTTTAGTATTAATTAACGTATCTTGATTAGATCTGTTAAATACACCATGATAGAACAAGATTCTCAAACATAAATCGTGTCTGAAGAGTCTTTAATGTGTTATTTTTAATTCAACAAATAGGAAATTCGATCGTTTTATAAAAAGGTTTTTTATATTTTTGCTCTGAAAGTATACCAGAGCAATTCTCTTCAAGAGTCTTTTAACTTAGAAGAAAGTGCGTCAAAAACTGCATCTTTCTATATACAATTTAACAAGATAAAATGTGGGGAAGGGGGGTTATTTAATTTTTGAGCACAAAGAAGATCGCTACCATGCGAAATAGTTCCACATCGGTGGAAAATAACAACTATTGTTTCATTGAAATTTTTTAATTGCAAGTTTTTATAAAATTGTTTTGTATATATTGCCTATATTGTACATTCACTTTAGTTACTAGTGGTATATAATTTAGTTCATTTGTAATTATAAATAAATATTTAGTTATATTTTAATCTCGAGGAGTTCGTTTTTTGCACTCTACACTACCGAATAAACTTCAATTGCAGATTTATCTAGCAAGCTTGAGAACGACCGGAAAAAATAAATAAATTCAGCTATAGAAAAATTATTGAATTGTCAGAATGGTTTAAACAAAAAGTAGAAAAAACATCTTTAAAGAAAATTGCTGTCCAAATCTTGAAAAGAAAAATTCTAAAAAAAATTCTCGAAATGCATAATCTGGAAATGTTATATTTCGAAAACAGTGTTATCTCGAACAAGAAGCGGTAAAAACTTTAGAAACGGTCATTATTTCCTCAGTCTTATATAAATTCTTTTACCTTGAACTAAAGTTCTTATCATAGACCTTTTGTTTTGCTGTGATACTGACGTACGGGGTTTTCGATGATCAAAGTGACACTTTTCAGAAACGTTACCAGTGCTGCCGTTGTGAAGCAAAATTAATTTCTCGAGATTTTTCAATTCGAGATGTTGAGGCTTTCGAGATTATGTTCTTCAAGATTGATTCTCGAGATTCGGACACCAATCCCTCTAAAGTGCGCATCTGCTTGAAGTGGATAATTTGAAAAAAGTCCCTCAGATGTCCAGTTAAGGGAGGTTCTACTATATTTCGTTTATCAATTTGAATGCAACCACGAAATATGACAGGATCGAGTCCTTTTATTAATTTTTCATCGATATTGCTCAATCATCTTCTAATCTGAAAATTTTGGAACAAACAAAGAAGATGGAGTTCGCATTTAATTCTTTTGCTGTCCAACATTTTTATTGAGTAATTTTCTTAAATAGGAATATTTTTTCCAAGAGGAATTCTTAGGAGACTAAGACGAGTTTCTTTTTGGCGCCATAATTCTTTAAAAAAAAAGGATTTACCAATGTGCTAAACAATCCCCTGGTTACTTCCTTGCTCGTGCCATTTTATAATGATAGGAAGATTTCTTAAAGTTTGATCGTTCACAGTAGTCTAATTCGTGACTCCTTTTCGACTCCTATATTTGAATCTACCCATCTTCAGTCGAACGTACAGGGATTTCTGACAAGAAAATTTTTAAAAACTTTTAGGTATACATTTCGAAGTATCAACCAATAACATAATCGACATATTTATACAACTGAGAAAGCGCTGGATAAATAAAACCGAATATTCTTAAGATGCTTGATACTGCATCAATTTTCCGGGCATTTTTCATTATCATCTTATTTGACCAGATCTCTCTCTTTCATCAACATACATATATATTGGGAAATAGAAAAGTGTGACATAAAATGCCTGAGCTAAATAAGAAAGAAAAAGTATAGCAAAACTACACGTTAAAATTACTTTTAAGAACGAATGGTTAATTATGGAATGAGGTATCAGTATTAGAACCTACTTTCCAAACCTATATGTGTGCAACAGATTCTCTGCCTCCTCACCAAGAATGCTCTTTATGTACTTTCTAAGAGGGTGAGGTAATCGTACCTGTTCGACCAATAACTCCAATCTTTTGCTTGGATTCAATTCGTAGATTAATATTTTTAAGTACAGGATCGAGCTCTGAACGATATCGAAAAGTGTAATTTTTGAATTCAATAATACCACGAGAAGGCCAATCATCTGGTGGTTGGATGAGAACTTCGCTTTCATTACTGTTTCTATAGTTTTCTGGAGCAAGTTGACCATATTCATGAATACGTTCCGCACTGGTCATAAAATTTTCAGCTTCGGTTGATTGTCGAATACCCCATTGAAAGAGGCCTGTTAAGGTGATACAATAACTCAGACTGAGTGCTGCCGCCGCTGGGTCCATTGTATCACGTAATGCCACTGCAAGAATAGCCGTAACTAATGTAATTAAGGATGTCATGAAATCGAGTAGTAAACCGAACCAACGTGCGGTAGCACCGAGAACGAAATAAGCTCGTGAGTTTGCATCAATTCTTTTCATAAACATATTTAAGAAATCGGTTTGAACGTTAAACGCACGAATACTAGTTAAGCCGTCTAATGATGATGAGAACAATGCATACGTTGGACTTCGTGTTACACTTTCGAGCCGTTTGAGTTGACGACTTGAACGTATATAGTATCGACGAAGCCACAAAACTATAGGAATGAAAGGAACAAGGATTAGAAGCACCCATGGATTAGTCGTTCCAATGATGACAATGGAACCAATAGTCATTAGGAGACATTGTATACTATCGATTAAAGTTAGAGGTAACGATTCATCTAATGCTTGTTGATCTTTGCTTGCTCGATTCAATATTCGTCCGCTTGGATTACTTTCATAGAAACGTAAAGAAGTATATAAAATACTGCTGAGCATTCGATTGTGAAAATAGGTCGATCCGCTTAACATGATAAAGAAAATAAAGCTGGTGCGTATTATTATAACGATAAATGTGCCCAATGTCAATCCAAGATAGACATAAGCATAATATGGTGATCTTTGTTGATCATAAGATTTGCTAGACCATACTGCAAGCCAACGATTTGTAAAGTCGTATAGACCTTCTGCAGCACACATGAGAAATATGATGAGTAAAAATCCAAACCAACGCAAAGGTGGTGAAGTGAACAGTTGAAGCCAAACACTCCATTTGACGACACCAGCAACTGATGTCTCATCCTTTACAATTGGATTGATATCAGTTATAGCAGTTTTAAGTGTCCACTCGGTCTCATTATCGTCAGATGAATCTGTTTCTGATGCATCTGTTTCTGACGTATCATTCAATGGCTGATTTGCAACAGGTTGTTCATTATGTAATTCATCTATGTGACCATTTGTCAAGAGAATCATTTGATCTGCTTCAACTAAGAAATGTGTCTGATGTGTTACCAATATTCGAGTTTTTTCACGAAGAAGACTATGTGGACCAATACATTCATCAAAAATTTTCTCTGCCACTTTTGGATCAACAGCAGCAAGTGGATCGTCTAGTAAATATATATCTGCATCAGCATAAAGAGCACGAGCAAGAGATATTCTAGCCTTTTGTCCGCCACTTAAATTGATACCTTTGTCACCGATCATTAATAAATCACCGACTTCACCAAAATTTTGTAGATCGATATTAAGACAGCATGCTTTTATTACATTCTTGTAACGTTCTTCATCCATTGGTTTGCCAAGAAGAATATTAGCTCGAATAGTGTCAGCAAATATCCAAGGCAATTGTGGAGCGTACGAAATAGAATTGGCATATTGTTGTAGTTTTCCACTGACAAGATTGACCTCACCGAGAATGGCAGCTAGTAAACTTGATTTGCCGGCACCAATAACACCTTTCACTCCCACCAAAGTACCATGCTTAATCTTGAGGTTGACAGCAGACAGACAACAAGAGTCTTTCCAAGAAAATGATGCATCTTCCATTATGATTGCATGATCTTCATTTTTGTTTTCCATTTTTTCACATTTATTGAACAATATATCAAGCTGCATAAATTGATCGATTCTTTTTGCAGAGACACGAGCTTCACTAAACTTTTCTATAGCAACTGGAAATAAAACAGTTACTGAAACTCGAACCATAGCAAAGAAGGATACTGCCGAAAAAATATCTTCTGGAAGCAAAGTTCGACCCATTAACCAATTGCCACCGAATGTAGCAAGAGAAATTAAAAGTAATGATGAAACGGAGAGAGCAATATTAATAGATCTCAAGCGGCTAGATTTAAAAATGTACGAAAGTTCATGCCGACGTATTTCATGTACTCGTTGCTCCATCGCTTTTTCCCAATTATACATTTTAATAATTTGACATCCGTTGACAAGTTCATTGATCATTTGCACACGCTTATCTGTACGTGCCATTGTGTCCTTTCGATATCGACTGAATAATCTACTGAACATGAGCTGTACTGGTATTAACAGAACAATTACTGCATAACCGAATAGCGTCGGTAAACCAATGCTCCACCAAATGAGACCAAACATCGCCACAGCTTCCAGAGGAGCCCACAATAGAGCATGATAGTAAGTGCAAAATTCTTCAAATTTACTTGAATCATTTGCTACCAAATTGATCGTTTGAGCAGCAGTAGTCTTGTAAAGAGCTACTGTATTGATGTTCAACAAATGTTTATAGATAGTAGACGATAATGCATTGCGAACACGCATTCCTACACGTTGATTTATAAAAAAGATTTGTTGATTAAATATGGCTTGTAGAATCGCGGCAATGCAAAGACCAATAACACATAGATAACTAGCGTAAGTTTGTAATCGTGATGGATTTTGAATGTACCTAACAATTTCGCGAATAAGCAATGGTTGTGCAATACGAGCGATAATAAGTGGAAAAATAAGTAATGTGCTCAGAATGAGATCTTTGAAAAATGTTTGTTTGATAACATGCCATGTACCTGGCCATTTAGAACTGTGGTGATCCACTCTATTCAACAAGACTGAACATTTGTCGTTGACAGAAAGATCGTTGAGATCGTCGTCGACAAGTGTGCGTTGATTGCCCAAGGAAAGAATAGGTTTTATCCACCATAATAGTGGTATCTGTATCCATCTTGTCCATGATGATTGACACCAATCCAAACGACATGATAGTCGTTGTTGACCTAGAATATACTTTCGAACATAATGGAATTGTATTCCCTTCTTTTATAGAACTAGTTCGTTTACATGTTTGACATATATTCTGTCATAGAACAACTGCTGTTATCTTTTCTTCTGTATATGAGACAAAAATTCTGTTCTCGATTAAGAGTATGTTTAACCCTCCATGTACTTTGCTCTTTCATCATTGATAGACTATAATGAATTTCTCTCGTGTATCTTTCAAGTGCGACAAAATAGATCGCAATCGTTAAACAGATACATACGCATCCGTTATCGTACATTCATTTGTATTATTTGCACCTTCTTCTGTTCAAATTCCACCTTCTATTCATCCAGTTTGCATATATAACTTGAGCAAAGATCTTCAAATCCTATGTGTGAAACTAAAAATTTTGCAGTTGATATCAATCCCTGTAATACTAGCTCTTCACCTTTAGAGTTAGTGATAAACCAAAGAATTTTTATAGGAAAGAAAATTTTGTAAAAGAAAATATGAAGCCACGAAATTATAGTTAAAGAACTTTAGCCCTAAATGTAATATGTGATGACCAAGAGTTTAGATACCCTTGTGGTGTTGTTTACTAAAGAAGTTATTTTTCTCGAAAATTAAACATTTCCAAGTTCATATGCATAAAGAAAGTTTCATGACATTATCCAAAAGCATCATTCTTTGCCTGAATAGAAAATGTTTATCTTCTTATCAATAAATATATGTCAATCAATTGGAAGCAATTCTGGTTCATGAATTAGAATCAAATTTGTTGGCTTTGTTATCGATACATTTCTTTAATGACACTCACTTTCAGTTGGCGGTGATACTTTAGATGAATCTAATGAATTGTCCTTCTGCAAGGTCACTGGTGTTTCTAGAGAAATTTGTGATGCAGACAAACTATTCATATGCCGTTTGGCTGCTTCGTCGATATTTGCTATTTTTCTTCCTACCATCGTTCGCTTAACATTAATTATTGAGACTGAGTGCAGAAATCAATTCGTGATGTCTACTTTTATTGTACAAAAGTTTACTACAGGCAATTGCTGTTTTTATTGTCATTTGATTCTTAATAATCATATCCATTTCTTATCTCATGACCAAATAATCTTGATAGATTTAGTGACTCTACTTATTTTTAGCAATAAAGTTGACAGTTTTATAGAGAAAACTGAAGCGCATTGAGTGGTATATAAAATATTCATCTTGCATGAAACCAAGATGGATCATAAGAATGATATATAAGTGAAAAATTCTTCATGTTATTTGAATAGGATATTTCTTTTATGACACTTGAAAAAGACGAATTTCCGCTCATTGCTTTATTTCGTTAAATAGAGATTATTGTGCTCTTAAATCTATACACTTGACATTTCTTTCCATCAATTGTCTTCATGATTAAAAATATTTACTTTTTGTCCACAAGCAGTAGCTATTGATTTTCTATTTTTAATGCTATATTGCTGTACATAGGCATCAAGCGAGCCCGAATCTGTCGGGATTCGAGGGTGGGTGTGGGTTGGTTTGAGTGTGTTGATGGGTCAACTCTTCTTCGAACCACTGTTAGCCACACACTCACTCAGACTGCCAGTCACAGCTACATTAACGCCGACACCCTTTATAAAATTCGACAAGTTTTCGAGGATGAGAAATCCCAATCAATCGGTTGTTTTTGGCAATTTAAAGCTTGGCTTTTTTGATCAAGGAAGGTTTTTTTGGAGAAAATGATCATTCTTTTTATAAGACTTGTATGAAGACCTTCAGGATTGAGAAGCTCGAATCTAAACTCCGTTTGCTCCAATACCTTATTCGATAGCGAGGACCAACAGAAAGCGAATCGCCAGGAAAATAATTCCATACGGATCGCTATAATTTATGATGTTCTTTCATTTATATTATTATCAAATATATCAGAATAAATTTGTCTGAAACAAATACTATCATAGAAAATTGATATTGTTATATGCGTGCTAATGCTGTATAATTGGTACACAAACGATATATGGAAAGATGAACGCAAAGCTGTAATTGTAAATGCTGCTAAATGCTATTCCTCAGAGAAATGTACTGAACTTTTCTAGAGGTTAACAATCCATATAAAACTAAATTTCAACTCTTAACTGACTATATGAAAAACAATGCAAAAAGTTACCAAAAATTATACGTTAAGTTATGCATCAATAGAAATGAAAAGGCTAGGAACACACAATCGGTTATCACTATGAGTGAACAAGGAAAATGACACTATTATACAAAGAACAGATGATCGAATGGACAGTTTACTCAAACAAATGAGAACGTCGATAAGAGTGATATAGGTATGAACAAAAATAGAACTGAAGAGAAAAAGAGAAAAAATATACATTTCAACATGTACATAAAGGGAATGATTATTCAAATAATCTTTCACGACCTTGAAATATTTTCAGAGGATGACGATGTAACAATATCAAAATTATTCAGAACCAAGGTAATCGATATACTGAATTATTCAGAAGAGATGACGACTCACGACATCTTACAGTGCACTATCAATGAAGACCGGACAAATAAAACTCATAAAAACGTGTTTTTTTATTTCAATATCTTGATCATATAATTTATACTTTTATTTGCTTCTCTAATAATTAAATGTTATCTTGAATATGTTGTAAATCTCTTTTACGACTCATTGCAAAAAAGTTAGAGGATCATGTAATTGACCGAAAATACTGACTAATGCAAATTTAAGTGCACAATAGAAGGAAAGAAAGAATATAATAGAATAGTCTCAGCTTTGATACATAATCTATTGTCGGATCCAAAATAGAAGGCAGATCACCATTTTTCGAATAACTTTTGATAGGAACGAGATGAAGAGCTACGGTTTTCACCATTCGAAAGCGTAAGAACTAGGCACTAATTCCATATAAAAATCAAGGAGTGGGTATCAAATAAAGATACATTGAATTTGTTGGACTTTTCCCAAACTGTGCAATTCTCATAAGATTCGTTACGTATTTCTTGTTCAAGAGGAAGTTTGATAGCCCGGATCATGCTTTATAAAACCATGCAAACCACAGGTTTTCTATAATTTATCACTTGTACAAATAAAACATCATTGTTATTTCTAACGATATTATTATTCCTTTTCACGCATTGAAAAAAGTGTTCATCGTAAGTCAAATGACGACATATGATGGTAAAAAAGTAATCGATGCTGTAATTATTATTCATAATTCTTATGTAGCTTTCTTTTCGAAAATGTTGTCACATAGGTGATGTCAAAGAAATGAGCTTCATTTCATATAAGAAAAAAGGATAATGCATGGGCTATTGGATGAATTTTATTTTCATCTCTTATGAACACACTATTGGAAAAAAATGAAAGAAAAGAAAAAAAAAGCATAACTTATATGTACGTTGACTTATGAAGTTGACGAAAGGAATAATAATATCGTCAGAAAGAACAATGATGCTTTATGCTATTGTTCATAAAGCCATTCTATAAGAATAATGCGCAATATTCATTTTGTTGACATGAAGACAAACAATGGCAACAACATTAGAACATCTTTCCGTCGAATTACTCTACCAAATATTTATTTACTTCCAGTTTCATGAAGTATTCAATATTTTTTCTAATCTTAATTTACGATTTGCTGCTATCATTAATAACATGTCATTTATGCCAGTCTATCTGGGTTTCAACGGAATGAGTATAGTAACGACCAAATTTTATTATAGACATTTATCACAGGCAAACATCTGTAATCGTCTTATTTCATTATGTATCTCAGATACATTAGCTATTGATAATGGTTTATGGTTAGCATCACATGTATCTGCATTTAGTAACCTGTGCCATTTATCTTTAATTGACATAAAACGTTCTTCCTTTGAATTGATTCTCAACTCACTGTCATCCATCAATTCTCTCGTCATATTTAGTGTACGCTTTACAACGGATTCTCGTGCTGCTTATACATTTAGAGCTGTACCAGAAGGTGCTTATTATGAACGAATTTTTCACTTATTTCCTTCATTACGTGTGTGTCATCTGCTTTTTCGGCGATACGTAAGTTACATTCCAGACAGTCAATTTGTTTTACCATCTGACAGAACTTTTATGCCTATTCAAACCAATCTTTGTAACTTACAATCACTTGCACTTTGCGGGTCACCAAGCTTTCTATCATATTTATTTCAATATCTTCCACAATTGGAACAACTCAGGTATACACATACTGGTCTTTGGCTATCTGGAGAA